TTTTTTTTTTTTTTTCTTTTTTTGTCTGTTAGTGCTGCTGAGCTTTAATCGTGAGTTTGACTGGGTTTCAGGTGCCTGTGGACAGACGGGGTGGGGGGAGGTTGCTGAACGAGAAAGCAGCATCATTTAATGCCTAGCTTTTCCTTTCAAGTTTCCGTTCAAGTCATTTCTCCATTTCACCTGTCTGTGCCTGTGTTGCATGCAGCATCTCTGCAGCTCGGCTGGAGCACGGGCTCCCGTGCCGTCCCTGCTGCCGGAGGGTGCCGGTGCTTGGCTTGGGGAAGTTGCATGTTAATAATAACGTTTTTCCTGCCTTAGCGATGCGAGCTGTGCCGTGGGGTTCCACTTTTAACATTTCCAAAGGTTTGTCGTATCTGGATTCCCTGTCAAGCTGACGTTTCTGCAGGTTACAGCACGGACTCTGGTCTGTGCTCTGGTAGTGTCCTATATGGTTATTTTTAGCATAGCCAGAATATCACTGTTCAGCTTAAAGAGAAATCCTGAGAATTTTTGCCTGATCTCAAAGAAGTGAGAATAAAAACAACCAAAGGCACAAACTTCACTGGCCGTGCCGTGTCAGCGAGAAGACTTTACCGTTTTATTAACGTGACGGTAAATGCTCATGATTTACGTCTGTGGTTCCTTGAGCTCACCAAATACAGTGAAATACTTTGTTACGTGGTGATTACTTTAAGAGCTCCTGTTTAATCCACTTCCAAATGGAAAAAGTTTTCCACATGCTGATTTTCCTCAGCCTCCAGCAGCAGGGTGGAGCGGTGGGGCTCAGCGCCCTGTCCGCCAGGCAGCTTCACCATTCTGCCCCCCGCTTGATTTAATCCTGCTTCTCCTGTTGTTTCTTCCCCTTGCACGTGCTGTCTCTGCGCGGGATCACGCCTGTGAGAGCGTGCACGTGCAAGGTGTTGCCGGTTGTTTAAAGGGCAGAATTGCTTGTGGCGTGGGCCCAGCAATAACGCAGGTAACGTCCCCCGGGAAGGACGCGCTGAGGGAGCTTGTCCTTCTGCTGCTGGAGTGCTGGGGGGGTAGAGACGGCGTTAATACCAACAGGTTTTCTCTGGAGAAGGCTTGGTTCTGCCGAGAGGCCGAGTTCCCTGACGGTGAGCGGGACGGCATCCTGCCCGCCGGGGTGGGCAGCGCTGACCTGTGGCCCTTGCTCGGTTGATGCCCGGGCATCACCGCCGGGAACGGCCCCCCCCCCCGGGGCCCGCCCGCCCCCGCTCAGGAGCTGCACACCGGCCCCTTCCACCCGCTGCTGGACAACCTGATGGAAACTACGTGGGAAATCTCTGCAGCAGCAGTCGCAGTCTGAGAAGTTCTGCTCTTCTGCGTCAGAAGTCCTCAAACTTTGTCCAGCAGAAGCCTTTAGCGCTACAGTACCCATCCTGCCTGCTGCAAGGTGATGCCAGTACCGGCGTGCTCGTCCGTACTCTTGACGATGCCAACGCTCGGTGCTCCCGGCTGGGTCGCGACTCCCGCACTCGGAGCAGG